TTGACAAATGCCACGTTTTTAGAGCATGACTATATGATAGATTTCAAGCCCAGAAGCAAAATAGTACTAAAAGAGTTACCTTCCGATCAGATCAGACCACAACTAGCAAGAGTTGTCGAAACACCAAGGGATAAGACCACAATTTATAATCAAACTCCTGTGGCACTTCATCATAGTGGGAGGGTAAGCAAGTTACCTGACTGGTATACCAGGGAAGCACAGGTCGTCACTACTGGTGACGATAAGGAGGATCCATTAACCTTTAAGGCTGTGATGGATGATTCTGATAAGGAAAATGGCAAGAAACTATTAAATTCGAGATAGAGTTCATGTACTCCAACTCAGTCTGGCAACTTGTAGATCTACCCGGAGGGATAAAACCCATTGGATGCAGGTGGATATTCAAGAAAAAGAGGGGAGTGGATAGAAAAGTGGAGACTTATAAGATAAGGCTAGTGGCTAAGGGCTCTACCTAGAAAGAAAGAGTGGACTATGAAGAAACTTTCTCACCGGTAGCCATGCTTAATTCCATTCGGAACTCCTGGCCATAACATCATATTTTGACTATAAGATATGCCAGATGGATGTCAAGATAACTTTTTTGAATGGCTATCTTGAGGAAACCATCTATATGGATCAGCCAGAGTATTACATAGAGAAAAGCTAAGAGTAGAAAGTTTAGAAACTGCAAAGATCTATTTATGGATTAAAGGAGGCTTCTAGATCATGGAACATCAGGTTTAATAAGGTTGTTACGTCTTATGGATTTGATCAAAATATTGATGAACCATGTGTCTACAAGTATAAGAAAGAAGAAAATGTGGTCTTCTTTGTTCTTTAGGTTGATGACATTCTACTCATTGGGAATGATATGGAGTTGATGACAGATGTAAAGAAGAGGTTAGCCAACCAATTCCAAATGAAAGATTTGGTAGAGGCAAGCAATGTTCTTAAGATTAAGATTTTTTAAGATCGCAAGAAAAAGCGTTGGCGTTATCTCATGCATCATACATAGACAAAGTGCTTGTTAGGTTTTCGATGCAGAACTTCAAGAAAGAGAATTTTCATTCTAGGCACGACATTCATCTTTCAATGGAGAAATGTCCTAAGATTCCATAACAAGAAAAAGATATGAGACGGTATCCCTATACATCTGCAGTGGGAAGCCTCATGTATGCCATGATATGTAGACAACCATATATCTGCTATGCAGTGGGAGTAGTCTGACTACTGCTCTATAAATAGGAGATTGCAGAAAATTAGAGAATACAATTTTTGCTCTCTCCTAGCAATAATGGTCATTTTTCTAAAGAGTGTGGGAAGGAAAATTTTCTCCAAAACTCCACGTTGCGCATGTGTTGGTGTTTGTGAAAATCTTGAGTGTTTATTTGCTAATCCTGTTTTGTTTCAGGTGTACCTACGTACACATCTTCGTAGATTCTAGGAATTGATGAGGAAGATTCGGGTGTTCTAAACTAGCTTGGAGTAAGGAATGTTTGAGGTCAAAGAAATCAAGTTATTGTCCTAATCATCTGCTAGGCATATAAATTAATTTGATTAATTTATCCGTGCATAAATTAATGTAATCTATAGAGTGTTTCAAAGTTTTTTAAAAATTTTTGTTATATACGATCAACTAAACATATGTTTGCGCATTCGAAATCGTTTCGGAAACCAACAATTAAAAGCATATAAAATTTGATTATAAATCACAAAAAGGCAAAGAATTAAAAAAAAAAGTTTTGAATGCAAAAAGGTGTAAAAAAGGGTTAAAATGACTAAATGAATAATCTTAGGGCAAAAGGGACCAGAATGAAAAAAATAAAGTTTTAGGGTAAAATTAAAAAGGGGTTTAAAATGACCAAAATGAAGAAATAAATAAGTTTTAGGGTAAAAGACACTAGTAGAAATCTAAGATTTAACGATAGTTAAAAACCATTGTTAAAAGATTAGATAACGGTTATATGTTACACACGTTTAATGACGCTTATAATCCGTTGTTAAAACTTACTTTAGACGACGATTTATTTCAAAAACCGTCGTCTAAATTTGTACTGAAATGCTAATTTATGCATTTGCGGACTACATCAGATGACGGTTTCTAGTGAAACCATCGTCAAATACCTATCTTTAATGACAATTTAAGTGAAAAATCGTCGTTATATATGATGCTTCAGGGATAAAATTTATGTTCTTTTATAATTTGTCCTATGGGTTTGCCAATTATTCCCGTGTTTTATCAAGATTTTGGCCACAATTAATAGAAATAATATAATAAACAAAAACAAATATCAAACTTTAAAATTAAGATGAATTATAAATATTAAATAATCATCAATAAATGTAGTTTAAGATGATTAATATTACAACAACAATGGCTATATTAAATGTTCATATAAGAAACACATATAAATACATGATTATTTTTTCTCTTTCTATTATTTTCTATACATGTCCATTCAACATCTAAACGGACAAGGCTTGAATCATCATCATCAAAATATCAACCTCGTCAACGGGTGCCAAGCCTCTACTCACCGATAGAATAGCATTGCAATAATCATCATCCCATTCACATCACGAATAGCTCTTGACTTCATAGGAACAACTAAGGACAACTCCAAATCTTTGGGATTGGTTGTATAGAAAACTTGTTTTGCTTGCGTTTCAAAAATGAAAGGATCATTCTTGTAGCCCATCCTTCAAAAGTCAATCATTGTAGCGCCGTCACCATTAACCTTCACATAATTATTGTCGGCCCACTTACACATAAAAAGTGCCACTCGTAATCCGCAATAGTCAAGCTCCCATATGTCCTCCATAAAACTGTAGTAGGTCATTGTTCCATACACGAGATTCTTGTCTTTTGCAAACAAAATATGCATAGCATCGGCACGAAGACTAACACCACTATTCTTGTCTTTTGTAGTAGATATAGCCATTTATTGAGTATGACGTGCATTTCATTACCGTCGACGAGTGTCCTCTGGCTAACTTAAACAAGTCTTTTGACATACCTTCATTTCCTGACTCGCGAACCTTAGAGTAAATGTGTGTCCTTATCTACTCTCTAAATGTCCGGTTATGTTCATCTGGCAACCACTTCTCATTTCTCCCTCTTTTTGGGTTTGCCGCCTTTATTTGTTTTTTGCACACCTATATGTATAGTTCCAGCTCATGAGCATTATGTAGAACATAGAGACAAGCTTGTTCTCATGCTTCACAAGAAACCAAGGAAGGAATGTCGATAGATTTACCTTTTGGTCTTTGGTAAACCAATTGCTTCCACGTTAGACAAGTACTCCGAGGAAAATTCCACAGCTGCTTCAGCTATTTAACTTTCCACGATGCAACCCTCCAACCTATTTTGATCTTAACAAAACCTTTTAGAATCTTCATGTACCTTTTGAAATGGTACATCCATCTTAAGTACACCGGCCCGCAAAGCCTAACTTCACAGACTAAGTGTACCGTTAGATAAATCATAATGTCAAACGATGATGGTGGAAAGCCATCATAACCTACCTTTGCTGCGAAAGCCTAGATCTCTGTTGTAATTTCGCAAAGCCCTTTCCTTACCCATGTGAGCCAGATCTTAGCAAAGCTAGAACGTCGGCAGCTAGATCTTGTTGTGTCTTCCCTCCCCTTAGCAAAATGAAGCCAGATTGCCGTGAACCCAGTTCTTCACAAACTCGTAAGGCCATCGCTTAGATATCACCGCCTCTCCCTCCCCCGCCATAGTGCCAATTCACACACACACACACACACAGTCTTTCTTAGGTTTGCAGCTCAAAGGAAAAACCAGATCTTACGTGTACTATTTGGTTGGATATTTCAAAGTAAAAACCACATAGTCAAAGGAAGCATATTTTAAAGCCCAAGTTAATGTGTTCTTTGCAGCAAAAACCATTTGGGCTTTAAAGGGAACTACCAAAAATTTTAGGCTTGGATTGACACATATGAGGAGACATAAACTCTTACAGAGAATATCACACCCACATTATCAAACTGTATTTAGAATACCAAATATACCTTTAGGATACCACTAGGTCTCTGGCCATGATACTAGTATCCAACCAAGATACTTGTCGGAATCCAACCAAAATACCCGACCGTATTTGGCAGACAACCGCCAATATTAGCGGCCGTAGTCGCCGGTAGCTACCAACCACTAGCGCTAAAGAGTCATTGGTATTTTGTTAAGATACCGACTGGTATCTGCCAAGATACCAGTTACTGATCGGTTACCACTGAGTCACAGGCCAGTAACCACCCAAATCTGCCAGAAACCACCATTATAATGACCGCCAGTCGAAAGACCAAATCACCATAACAATCAAAATCACATAAATAAACCAAACATTCACAGAACCCACAAATACTACATAAAAAATTACAAACATCCAAATCTTCTTGTCCGGGTGCAAATCTGTGCGCTCTCATTAATGAACGAAAAAAAGAACACTTCCACGAGGTTGGAGTTGCGCAAAGTAGGAAGCCGAGAACTTTTGGCATCGTGGAAAAGTTTCAATCTTCGACTAGAGGGAGCTGGCAAAGTTTCAATAAAAAAAAGAGCTTTTTCTTTTAGAATTTTTTTTAAAGATTGGTTTTTTGTTAAATTTATAAATTATTATTATTTTATTGATATACTCTCATATACTGAAGCACATGCCTAGCACGTGATGAGTTATGTTAAAAACTTAACATAAATTGATAAAAAATACACGTAAATAAAAATAATTTTAATTGTATGATTCTAATTTATGAACCAAACGTCTTAATTATCAATGGTGTGAGAGTTCAAGAATTATTTTGTTAAAATAAAAGAAATGGAATTAAAATGTCACCAACTAAAAAATTAAGGACTAACGGTGCAAATTACTCTTATTATTATTATTATTATTATTATTATTATTATTATTATTATTATTATTATTATTATTATGCCTTTTACTGTCGCAAAGAGGGATCTCTACCCCTGAACTTCCAAGGTCGAAAGTCGAAACATCCCACGAAAAACCGTGACAACAAAAACCCAGAAGAGAACTCCTCACAAACAGTGAAGAGAAGGGTCCGTCTATTGTCAAAAAGCAAAACAATGGAGGTCAGAGAAGATACACTGTACCTGCAATTACATAAGCTCTCAGCCGTGAACTCTGAAGAAGTTCTCGACGCACTGATTTCTACTCTCTGGCAAACCAGAAAAACCGGTCTCCGCGGACACCACGACAAGTCCCATTTCCTGTCTCTCCTCAATCTTCCTTCTCTCTCCGACCTCGACCCAGTGTCATATCTTTCTCTGCCTTTGATTTTCTCGTCAATAATTATTCAGAAATGTGATTTTCCTTTGATGGGGTCGTTTGTTTGTATGTTTGGGATTTTTTTTTAAACTCTTGTTGTATGTGTTGGACAGGTTTTGGCGTGCCTTCGCTCGCTTATTAGAAAATGCGCTTATGATAATAACTTCACTGGTGATGAGATTCTGAAGTTGTTCCCACACGATTTACCTCTTCATCTTCAGCAAATTCTGTTGATTTTGTTCCAGAAATATCAGAGTCAGTGGAAAGAAGAGGTGTCCACTGAACAGGTTAGCTTTGTATTCTGTCTTACCTTGCTAGGACTTTTCAGTTTTGTGGTTCGTATTATAATGAAATAGTGTGAAAACTTGTGCAAGTCAACCCACAGATGTAATTGGAATTCCTAAGATAAAATGTTATCAAGATGTAAACAGATTCTAGCCAATTTCTATAAGTACTTTCAATAAGAAATATGCTAATAATTTGTGAGTTTTGGAGTCGGTATGAGAACCTGTGATTGGTTAAAGTTTGTTAACACATAGCACTTGTTGCTGCTAAGCCACAGTTCTAAGCCACAGTTCCACTTTGAAGAAATTGTCTCTTTTTAATTTTCGTCTTTAGACCTTTTTTTTATTTTTTTATTTTTTATTTTTTATTTTTTTCCTTTTGGTTATTTTAAACTCTAGTTGATAGTATGGCTTTTTTGTTTTGTTTATTTTTTTAGAGATAAAAATTTTTATTTTATTGTCATTTCATTCGTTTTATTCTTCATGTGTATATTCCCCAGCGTTCAATGCCGAGGACCAGTGTTTCCTATCATGTTAAAATGGGTGATCCACCAACTGTTACAACTGTCCCATCTTCTGGTGTCACGGCTGCGCTATGGCCTCGCCAGGATGATCGTATTTCTCAATTATATCAGAATGATGTCGGGGCAGCTACTCCAATTATTTCGGAGAATAATGTGTCGCAAATAGCTCCAATGGCTCCGCAAAGCCATATTGGCCCTTCTGAGAACCTGGTACAAAGAGGCTTTATTGAGTTTGTTTCTTGATATCTTTTGTTATGATAATTGTTAACAAGTAGTTTATATTACGTTACAAGTTACTAAATCTTTTAGGACGATAAGATATCAGAAGTAACTTAAGGTATTTCAAACCTTTTACTAGGATATCAGGAGTTATCTAAGTGCTTTTATTTTTATTTCTTAGCCCGAAAATATACATGTTTCTGTACTAAAATAGACAGGTTCAACTGATGTGCAGGGAATTTTGCCCCGTCTCAAGTCCATGACGTGGACCATGGAGAACTGCAGCTCAGATCAATCTAAGAGAGTGGCTGTCATAACACTTAAGGTATGTAGAATTGGGAAAAGTATTTACGATCATCAATTGTTCCATTTCTTCTTTCTTTGTTGGGTATGATGCCAATGATGCTGCATATTTTCTGTAAGAGAATTTTCAAACCATCTCATGCCTTAGGAGGATTTAGATTTATAGTGATGTAGAACTACAAGATAAGATTTAGAGGGGAGAAGAGAAGAAAGAAAGAAGTGGAGACAGATTAAAAATTTGATGAAGGGAAGAAAGTATGAGAGAGTTTAAGGGAGATCAATGATATAGGAGGAAAATTGTATAATTCATAATCCATTTTATGATACAAGATGAGCTATTTCTAGATAGGAAATTTAGCACACGCGGCTCAGAGTGAGAACTAATTTACAAGTTGGTCCTACTAACATCCAACCTAATGACAACTAATCATGCCGTGGCACATGTTGACAACTACTCTTAGCATGCTAATTGGTGGATAGGGTGGTGGAGTAGTCTCTATTTAAACCTCTTGGTGTGGCTAGATCCGACATTTAGACTTCTCAATTACAATTTGCAGATGGCACTCTGTTTTTGGGAATTCTTGACGAAGATAGTTTTTTCCAATGTAATGTCCAGTTTAGGTGTTTTCTGTCTCGTTTTCAGACTAAAGGTTAATCCAGTAAAGAGCGTGATCCTTGATATTAATGTTGATGATGATCCTTGACTAGCTTGGCAAACCTGGTGGGTTGTTATGTGGTGTTTGGCCTTCTAAGTACTTGGGACTACTGCTTGGTGGTAACCCCCTGTTATCCTCTTTTGGGATCTAGTGGTGGTTAAAGTGTCAAAGATTGGCGGATAGAAGAAATATTTCTTATCCAAAGAAGGGAGACTCTTTTTGATTCAATTGCTGCTCTCATCACTCCCTATTTATTTTTTATCCATTGTTGTGAGTTTTTTTATTTTTTATTTTTTCGAGAAGGTATGACAATGAAAATATTGAACACCTAATTGCATGGAATTCGGTTCGACCAGTGGTGATTTGGGAATCGGCAACGTTCTGAAAGAAATGAAGCACTGCTGGCTAAATGGATCTGGAGATTCCCCTTGCGGGCAGATTCTCTTTGGTAAAAGGTAATTAAAGGAAAGTATGGTATACGACCGAATAAAAGGGATTCAGGTGTAGCTAATAGAGTGACCTATCAGTGTCCTTGGAAGGCTGTTTAGCAGTTGCTGCCCATTTCTTGCAACATCTTGGATGGAAAGTGGGTTCATGGAATAGAATTCAGTTTTGGGAAGACAATTGGCGTGATGAGCAATCCTTTTTAGCCAAGCTTCCAGCTTTGTATAGGTTGTCCTGCCATATTGAACCCTTTATCCACACCTTATCTGGTTCTAATCAAAGCTCAATGGTGGAGTGTCTTTGGGATTTAAAATTCTCAAGGAATTTATTGGACAGGGAAGCTTTGGACATTTTGGAGCAAATATCACTTTTAGTGTCCTCAGGTGGGAAGGGTTCAAGACTGGAGGATTTGGAAGATCGACATTCGGGCTTCTATTATGTCCTATTTTATTTTTTTAATACCTGTTGCCTTTGATTTTCAAATCTTCAATTTCATTTGGAAAACCCGTATTCCATCGAAAATTTTAGTGTTTGATGCTTATTATTTCTTCATAAACTGAATACGAACGATCTTTTGTAGAAAAGGAAACTGTTTCTTTATGGGCCTGTTTGTTTCTGTTTTTGTTTCCATTTTTCACAGTTTTCGAGAATGAAAAATGAAAATGGTTCCACAAAACGCGTTTGGTGTAAAATTTTCTAAAAATTAAAAACAAAAACGTTTTTCTCCTTTTCTGAAAATCTGAAAACGGTTTAAGACTGTTTTCATTTTCTCCGTTTTCCTTTTCTCTCTCTTTCGCTCTGGCTCTCTTCTCTGATCTCTCTCTCTCTCTCCTCTCCCCACGTTTCTCTCTCTTCCCCGAACTCAGGACGCCGTTTTCACAGAAGCACGGCCGCGGAGGTGGCAACGCGATTCCCTGGGCTCGCCGGAGCTTGGCCATGAAGTTGGCAGCGGGATTTGCCTGGGCTCGCTAGAGCTAGGATGTGGAGGTGGCAGCAACGGATCTGATTTGCAGAGATGGAGGGAGTAAGTTTTTGGCGCTTTTTTTGTTATGAGATCTAATTTGCAGGTTTAAGTCTCTTTCTTGCTCTTGTATGTTGGCAGATTATAGTCCGTCGTCTGTAGATGTTCAAAAGCTTCAACAAATTTTGCAGCTCTTGTAATGCACACCACCTGTTCGAGAAAAGTCCTAAGAGAGACTTTTCGGAATCCACTAACTTGCTTTTCGAGTACTCTCGTAATGGCTTTAACCATGAAGCTCTGAATCTCTTTGCCGGGCTTTGCCGCTCCGGTTTTCTGGTTGATGGGTTAGCTCTGTCTTGTACATTGAAGGTTTGTCGGTGCTTGTTTGATCAAGTTGCGAGTAGGCAAGTGCATTGTCAATGCGTAAAATCCGGGTTTGGGGAGGATGTTAGTGTTGGCACTTCTCTTGTTGATATGTATACGAAAACTGAGGGTATTAGAGATGGAAGGAAAGTTTTCGATGAAATGCGGGAGAAAAATGTTTGTTCGTTTGGTCCTGAGTTTGTGATTTTTGTTGATCTAATAATATATTAATATTATTATTTATTTAATATATTTTAATTTTAAATATTATTACATGTTTTTTAAAATTAAACAACCAAACACAATTTCAGTTTTTTTAAAACTGAAATCAATCTCAGAATAAAACTACCAAACGCATTTTCAGAAATGATTCCAAAATGAAAATGAAAACGTTTTCGTTTTCATTTTCATACAAAAAACAAAAACGTTTTGGAACGAATTCCAAACGCACCCTATGTTTCTCCAAGTTGGTATGTGTTTGGTAAAAGCAGCGTGGAGACAATGGACCATCTTTTCCTCTACTTTCCGTTCTCATACATTCTCTGGTGCCTTCTTGTTAAGGAGTTAGGCATTGAGCGTGTGATCTCGAAGAGCTGCAGGGGGATGGGAGTGTCCTTGCCCGGGTCAAGCTCAACTTATAGGAGGAATCTAATGGGGAAGGTTGTGCCAACTCATGATCAGTTGTCATTACATCGGGTGTTAGTGGACCAACCTGTAATTTGTTGTCACTTGGAGCCACTTGTGCCCATCTTGTACTATGAAATGGGTATCTGGTAATATTAGGGTGGGAGGACATTTTGAGTTAAGAGGGGCAATTGAAATTTTTTCTCGTATAACCGGTTGAAGCACACGTTGTAATGTGTCGTGAATGGTAAATAGGAATATTTTTCATTAATTCAAAATAATCTCGTGTACACATTGAAGGGAATAAAGCAATTGACCTTTAAAGAGAAGTTGTTAGATGAGGCTACTTGGTCATATGTAGGTGATGCAAATACTATGTGGGATGCCATGGCTAGCTGCATTAGAAAAGTGGCAAAGGAGGTACTAGAGGAATGTAGAGGTAAAGGCTCCCTTGGGAAAGAAACCTGGTGGTGGAGTGAGGAAGTTCAAAAGGCTATTAGGACCAAGAGGGATTCATATAGAGATTTACCAAAGCGTAAAGATGTTGAAACTTTTAATAAGTACAAAGAAGCGAAGAAAGAAGCTAAGCGAGCAGTTGGTAAGGCTCGTTCTACTTACTTAGATGAGGTATATAGTGAACTTGGGACTAGGGAATGAGAGAAGGATATATATAAACTAGTTAGGATAAGAGAAAGGAAGTGTCGGGACCTAAATCAAGTGAGGTGTGTTAAGGATGATACGGATCAGGTTCTGACAAAAGATAAAGACAGGGAAAGGTGGAGGAGTTACTTTGAGAAGCTTTATAATAATGATCATGCGATAGAGTTTGACAATGCTAGGTCACAAGGAGAACCTAATGTGATGTATACAAGAGGAATCAGAGTCTTGGAAGTTAAAACTACACTACAGAAGATGAAAAAAGGGAAGGCATGTGGGCCAATAGAGGTTTGGATGGCGTTAGGAGATGCTGGAATTGTGTGGCTCACTAAGCTTTTTAATGAGATATTAAAGAAGAAGCATATGCCTGATGCATGGAGAAAAAGTATTCTTGTCTCCATCTTCAAGAATAAAGGAGATGTGTTGAATTGTAACAATTATAGGGGCATAAAGTTAATAAGCCACACTATGAAACTTTAGGAGAGAGTTATCGAATGGAGATTAAGGGCCACAACTACCATCTCAGGTAACCAATTTGGCTTTATGCTAGGCAGATCAACCACAGAAGCCGTTTTTTTTCTTAAGATGCTGATGGAAAGGTATAGAGAAACCAAGATTGACCTACATATGATCTTCATAGATTGCCGATGGATGTTTTATGGTGGGTGCTAGAAAAGAGAGGAGTGCATGTGAGGTATATCAAGGTAATTAATGACATGTACGATGGGGTGGTCACGAGCGTGAGAACTGTTGGAGGCTACACGGTAGAGTTCCCCATTCGGATCGGCCTTTATCAAGGATTTGCTCTTAGTCCTTATCTTTTCATCATCGTGATGGATGAGCTGACAAGAGAAATTCAAGTAGAGTTCCTTGGTATATGCTTTTTGCGGACGATATAGTTTTTGTTGATGAACATAGGGAATGAGTTAACCGTAAGTTAGAACTGTGGAGACACTCTCGAGGCGAAGGGATTTAAGTTAAGTAGGACGAAAACTGAATATATGCATTGTAGGTTTAGTAACTCAAGTAATCAGAGTAATAAATTTTTTTTAGATGGTGTGGAGATTGGGGTTTCAAGGAAGTTTAGGTACCTTCGGTCTATAGTCCAGTACGAAGGAGATATAGAAAATGATATTCAACATAAGATTAAGGTAGGGTGGGTTAAGTGAAAGAATGCTACGAGAGTTTTATGTGATGGCAAGATGCCTATTAAGTTGAAAGGAAAGTTCTATAGGACTGTCCAGCTATGTTATATGGTAGTGAATGTTGGGCCATTAAGAAACAACATATATCTAAGATGACTGTGGCAGAGATGCG